AACATTCCGCCAGCATCTGAGTTTCCGATTTATGCGAACCTCCATTTTTAAAGAACTGTCAGATAGAGATCAGTTAATAGTTCTAAGTGATTTTAATATACCGAATGCGACTTGGTCCACAGATGAAACTTACTTCTTTAGCGCAGCATGACTTTATTGACTTTTTTACAAGATCCAACATTATTGTAATTTTGTTATTTCTTATAATTTTGTTAACACTAAGCATAAGTCCGAGAATTTGAGAATTCTACTATGAAACACTGATAGGTGTATTGCCGTTCTGTTTGCTCAGTTTTTCCAAACGGCATTTTCAGGTACGTCCTGTCCTAATCAGTACATACTGCGCAGAGGCCCTGTGCAGACCACTGCACAAATTGATTACCCTATCTGTTAATACTACTGACTTCCCACCATTTTTGGAAGGATTCATATTTTATTCCCTATCACGAAAAGGGAAATAAATCAAATACTAGCAATTATAGAGGTATCTACAAGTTGTCCGCTATACCCAAGTTTTTCGAAAACGTTATTACCACCCATTTGCAACATTTTTGTAGTTCGATTACAGCCCTGTTCCAGTTTTCACATTCGTAAGATTCACACGGATTCGAATTTCCCAGACCTGTTCCAGTTTTCACTTCCGAAAGATTCACACGGAATCTAAATTCCCGCTGTTAATTCTCTGTTAGCTTCCGCAAAAATCTCACGGAAACTTTTCGCCAAGAAAATTAATTCTTTTAAAATGCTTTGCGAGAACTTAAAGTGAAAATGATATTTTTACCTTATTCTTTGATATTTTAAGAACATTGTTGCATAACAGATTTGTTTATTATTTTGTGATGGCATCTCAGAATCGCTTTGATTCTAACCAAATGGAGTTTTGCACATTCGCCGCCTCTGTTCTCGTTTCCGAAAGATTTGATATTTACAAAGCAAGGAAAAAAATAATTATTTTCTTGGCACTTACTTTTAGTAAACGCTTTTCGGTTTGTTTTTAAATGGTTAGAAGGGTAAATTATCTAAATTTTTGTGTTGGGGCCTTTTTCTTCGTCTTTTGCAACTTTGGACCCGAACGCTACATGTGAACATTTTGCAACACTGATGCCAAGCAGCTAATTCACACGAGTTGTTCAACACTACTGCTGGTCAGTTTCAAACACTGCCTTTAAAATAAGAAAAATATGTTAGTTTTTTCTACCAATGATTTTTTGACTAATTTTAGACAATAAATGTGAGCACCAATAATGCACAAAGATTGGGAACAGCAGCGGACCAAATGTTGATAAGAGATTGGCCTGGAAAATTTAGGCAAATCATAGGCTTTGGCTAAGAGCAGTAGCGGCGGTCAGCTGCTTTATTTTCCCCCAAATAGTAATTTACCTAGGAAATTTGCTAGCAAGCAAGGGAACTTTAATTATGTTAAAGGGAAATCCGCCAATGTTAACGAATTCACTTTCGAGCGAAAACTGGAAGAGGTGTATACAGGGTTGCCCATATTCGACGGACCCATCTGACGACGCCATAACTTTTGATAGAGATGCCAGATCGCTTAATGACTTACGGCGTTTGAAGCGCCAGTCCAAGCAGATTTTTACCATGGAACAATACACGCCACGCGAGAGTCATCGAAATGGCCGAATATGACGATCAATTTTGGAACAAAATTATCATGTCCGATGAAGCCCATTTCACATTGAATGGGACCGTACATAAGCAAAAAAAGCCACCGCGTTCGCCCGATTTGACGCCGCCTGACTTCTTCTTGTGGGGATATTTGAAGTCAAAGGTTTACGTTAACAAGCCAAGGACCCTAGAAGAGCTCAAGGACAACATTCGTGAAGAAATAGCCGCTTTTCCGGCCGAAATGTTGGCGAAAACGATGGAAAATGCTGCAAAAAGGGCACAATACGCCATCAACGCCAGAGGCGGCCATTTGAAAGATATCATATTCAAAAATTGATGTAAACAAATCTACTTGGAACAAATTAAATGATTAAGATTGCCAACCGCCAAATTTTTATTTTTTTTGATTTTTAAAAAAAAAACATGGGTCCGTCGAATATGGGCAACCCTGTATCTCCATGTCAGCATGGATTTATAACTCGCAGGTCTACTACGACAAAACCTTTTGGAGCTAGAAATAATCTTCAGACTGACGTAGTGTACACGGATCTTAGCAAGGCATTTGATTCCGTAAATCATTCGCTTCTTGTACGGAAGTAAAACTTGTTAGGGCTTTCAAACGATCTTCTTACATGGATTTCGAGATATCTGAGTGGAAGGACAAAACGTGTCCTTTTTAAAAGCTCGGTCTCTAAGCTGATTCAAGATAGTTCAGGCAAGCCACAGGGAAACCAACCTGGCCCACTTCTTTTTACATTATTTTTTAACGATCTGCCTTTAGTTTTGACGAAGTCGTGCGATCTTATGGGCTCAGATGACGTTATGTCTGCAACATTGCAATATTGGCCACAGTTCAGACTTACAAACGGATATTGACGCATTTCAAACATTGTGTTGTGAAATTCTTTTGAACTTAAATAGCGCTAAATGCAAAATAATGACATTCTATCGGACCGACACACAGTATGGCACGTATGCCAAGCACTAATCTGACTGTATTCACCATGGATAAAATGTGGTCAGAAAACTTAAGTTTTGGGTCCAGAAGGACGCTAAGGTCATCAATTTGTACCGTTTTGTGACCACATTTTATCCATGGTGAATACAGTCAGATTAGTGCTTGGATTTATAAAAAGGTGGTTAACTGAATTTGATGATCCGTATGTCACAAAGACTTTATTTATTTCATTAGTTCGTCCAATCGTGGAGTACTGCTCACCAGTTTGGAGTCCCCAATATGGTGTGCATATAGACCGAATAGTCTGTGCATTAAAACTTTTTAATATTTTTTTTTGTCTTACCATCTCACTCTAGTAGACTTCTTATTAATTTACCATTTTTATCCAACTGTAGAACAATGCTTGGTATTACTTTTATTTGTAAACTTATTCAGGGGGATGTGGAGAGTACCGAACTACTGGACCGCCTACATTTCTCAGTGCCTATTCGTATCGTATTCCTCTTATTTTGAAACATTGTAGATCAAACTATGATATTCATAAGCCATTAAGATAACTATATAATGACAATAATAAACTCTCTCAGATTATTGCTTCTTAGATAAGATAGATGCTTTTTAGTCATCAATCTTATTTAACTTAACACGTAATTAGTATTATTAAAGTATTGGTAGTAGTAGCATTAGTTTTTTAGTTTGGTATTTATTTTAAATTGGTCTGTCTGTTCATTTACTCGCAATCTCGTTTTTACGCCCCGATAGGAAGAGGGCTTCGCGCGTAGCAAGTTTTGCTTGGTGTTGTCGGGGCCACTTGATTGTACTGATCGTAGTGCATTAACGTCCAAATGTAAAAAAAAAAAGTACCCGTAAAATCGTCCCTTTTGGATCTTTGAGATTATTGTAAATGATGGTTAAATTTTGATTATTAATGCGCTAATTCGTCAGAGTGCTGAATTTCGGGTATTTAAAATAAACATTTAAACAGCGTTATTAAATACCTTTGCGTTGTTCCTCTCGTCGTTCCTCGTTTTTCACTCCTCTCTCCACAGCTCTCACTCAATCTCCTTTTGTCTTCTACTGCCTTCTGTATGGTGAGATGCCAGACCCATTCCCACAGTGCTAAAATTATTTTCGGTTTTCAGGCCAGTATATTTAAGAATTAATTTATATTGTCTTCAGTTCTAGCAATTTATTCAAACTTTGACGAGCTCTAGCATCTATGTATATTAGGAAGCCTTTCCTTATAACATACTCAATGTATGGGAAAGTTAAAGAATGTTCTATATCTAGTGAAATAATAAATAACGACCGAAAACAATTAGGCAGAACTGGAGATAAAAAAATAAAATTGGCATAAGAGCAGGTGAAAACGTTATTTTTAGGTGTACTAAAAAAAATGGGGACAGAAAAAATTTTGAGGGAGTCAATCTGCACCAGAAAATCTCTGAAGGATTTATTCGATTCAAATTTGTGAGCCAGTGCTATCAGCTCTCCTCTCTCCTCCTTAAGATGTTTAAAACTACTTTCCCCTGCTCTTCTCTTTTAATTGCCTTGAAATATTGCCTTAAGTTATCTGAATGTTTAAATGACTTATATCTATTATGTATACAAATTGCTGCCACTCCTCTTCCGAATACGTCTCTGGTTCACAGAAATTAGATGGCCGACATCTAATTTGTTTTTGTTTCGCGCCAAGAGTTTTGTGTTGCACGGAAAAAACATCGGCTAAAAAAGTGGGGTTAGAAACGTTAGTTCCACCATCTAGAACTAACTTGGAAGTTTTTTTTACTTGCAAAGTAACCGCAAAATCACTCTTTCTGGAAGGGGTTCATTGCCGACTTGGATTGTAAAACTTGATTTGTGTGCTCTGCCGGAGCTATGCTGCTTCTCAGCCGCCAAAAGACTATCGCTGATCTATATTAATAAATCTAAATCTATGATCTATATTAATCTTAGTAACGTTCTATTCCTGCGATTGATGACCGATGACCTTTGGGTGAACAAGTCAGTTAAAGGGATATACCAGCTTAACCCATGAAAAATCAGGACATTTTTTTTACATTTTTTTTAATAAAGAAAGTACAAAGTACTTCGAGCCGATTAAAAGCTGAAATCTAAAAATTCTAAAATGGTATTAAAGTATTAGAGCACTGTCTATAAAGTCAATTGCAATCTTTAAAAAAAAAAAGATACCAAAGTCGTGTGATTTGAAGATGAAAGTCGTTTTTTGGGGTTAAAAAATTGCCTTCGACAAGAGGTCTAGTGTGAACACAAGACAATCATTTTTGATTTACCGCCCTGAAAAATTGATTGGCAATATAATGCGCGGACGACAAAATGGGACTTAAGCTTCTGGCGTTCGCTACTTAATGGGAAACTTTAAGAACATCTGTGTACCGTAAGAAAGAAAACATTCAAATATGTGAACAATATAAATAATATTTATTTATATTGTTTCCGATTTACATAGTTTATACTTGTTTATGCGACATTTCAGTTGCAATTTAATTAAGCATAAACTTCACGCTGAGCTTTTTCCCAAGCCGCAATTGGACCATGCTCGGGGCGGTATTTTACATTGCAACCATCGGGCTCTAGGCGGTTGTCATCACGAAGTTCCTCATAGCGCTCCCGTTCGTACTTGGTAAATCCCCATTTCTTGGAGACGTAAATCTATAAATACAACATATAATAATTATTAATAAGCAAACAAATTAAAAGTTACAAAATGAATAAGCAAGCAGAAACAATAATGATGAATATTCTTCATATTTAAGCTTTAATATTATAATTTCACTAAGTTTAGTCAACAAGGAGTATACTCCTATATTTAAATTTGATGATATGAGCACAAAATAGAAAACTCATTTTCATGACGAAGAAAGCGCACGATTTTTTCAACTGCGTTTATCTCGAAAAAAATGGTAGCTACAAAAATAATTTACAATAAAAGGGGTTGCTTGTTGTTAGGCACATTCAACTGTAAGAAAACAGATGACTTTTATCGAGCAAAAAAAGCCAGTGGTAAAGTATTAAGAGCAGGTCTGTAAAGACCTATTATTTAAAGGTTGAAGTTGAAAAGGCCATCAAAAAAAAAATTACAACAAAAAACAAGAAAGGAGGCAAACTTCGGAAAGCCAGCTTTATATACCCTTGCACCTATTCCAAAGATTTAATATTTCATAAAACAACATTCCGATTTTTATGCCTATATTCTCACAACTGTGAAGACATGTTTATTTTCCGCTTTATTCTTCGATCGTTACCATGGCAGCTATGTTACACATCGTGATCCGATTTTATAATAAACCATAACAATGTATCGAAGGGTGAGGTGAATCCGAATTGAAAACTGGAACAGGTCTAATAATTTGTTTCATATATATTTTTTCGATTTATACGAGTATATCTTTAAAAACTTTGAAGCTATGATAATTTTCAACTCAGTTCTTCGATCGATCCTATGACAGCTATACGATATCATTTTCCCATAAAACAATAAACCATTATTAAACAGCAAGTTCAATTTTGTTTTAATTATGACTTTCTATGAGAGATAACTTTTGGAAAGGTCTGAATGAAATTTTATATATACAAATATATATCTTTAAAACTGAGACTTATTTTTGTAAAAACGGACGGACGAACATGGTTAGGTCAACATAGTCTTGCTTTATAAGGCAGCAAACTTCTGACTGAAATTATGTACTCACCTTCTGACGTCCAGGGAACTTAAACTTAGCACGACGCAACGCTTCAATAACTTGAGCCTTGTAACGATCGCTTGAGCGGACAGACATAATTGGTTGTCCAATACGAACTCGGGCCACCGTACCCTGCGGCTTTCCAAACGCACCTCTCATTCCGGTCTGGAGTCTTAAAAAAGGAATTAAATCATTTATAGGCATATAAGTCTTATCTAAAACAAAATTGACATTTTTAAGGTCACATATATACGGCTGTAAGCAATATAAATAACCTCAATAATAATGCCTACTTCATAATTTACCTATCAGCTCCAGCGCACGACAACATTTTGTTAATACGAATGACATGGAATGGGTGTAGACGCATTCTGATGTGGAACTGATCCTTTCCGCAGTATTTTACCAAATACTTGTTGCAACAAATGCGTCCAGCTTCCAAAGCTTCACTACTTAGTTGTTCATATTCGTCAGAAACCAAATGAACGCAAAGGGGGAAATCTTCAACAGTAGCCTTCTTTCTTCCCAAATCAAAAATACGAATTTTGGGGTCCGGAACACCCCGACAAAACCGTGATTTAGGATAAGGCTTATTTTTACAATAGCGGTAGCTGGAATTATTCAGCATTATTGCTGATGCGAATTTTATATCATGCATTTACATACCATCTTGCTGGACGTCGGCCCATTTTTACCCCTAGAAATAGTAATTCAAATTTTTTTTATATACTGACTAAAAATTGAAGGGGCAAAAACTCCACAACCAAAAACATTTAAAATGCCATATAAGGGCAATTAGTTATGAATTACAGAAGATAATTTTGAAGAGCACACATACCTTTTCTAACGAAGCGTACGTAAAAAGGAAGATGTGATTGAACGGAAGCAGAAAAGGTCTCGTCGCAAGCATCGCGCAGTTGTCACATGGATCAGTCAACATTTTCCTTAACTTAGAAACGAATAGAATAAAATTATAATACACAACAAATTATACAGTAATGCACTCTTTTTACACAGTACATCCGTTGGAAACGGTTGGAATAATCAACAAATGTGAAACTCCGACTTCCACAGAGCACATCCACCTTTCAATTACAGCTGATCTGAACAGCTGTGGCTCGTCAAAACGTAGAAAAAGTCGACAGGTCAACCAACTTTGTTTTTGTTTTGATGAGCTGTTAAGATCAGCTGAAGTCTAAAATCTGTGGAAACAGGAGTTTCAGATATATCAAAAATTCCAGCGGTTTTTCAGGGATGTACTGCGTTGAGAGAGGGTTGCACCGGAGAAACATCGGCTAACAATCGCATAAATTAGTCCGGACTAATTGGGAAGTTTCTGGAACAGCAAAACCTTATGGACTCTCCCTTCAGCGGATGGTGAAAGGATCTCTGTGGAAATACACTATTATTTCATTATTAGCTTTTTAATACCGTATTCCCACACAGAGCATTTGAAACAGTTGGGATTTTTGACAAACGTCTAACACATAGCCCATCCACCATGTGCCACCCGGTAACATATAATTTAAACAGCTGTGGCCCATCAAAATGTAAGCAACTATTTTTGCATAATTTGTCAATTATTTTGCCTGTTATGCAACAAAAATATGTGCATACCTGTTGCTCCGCTACATTTAATATATCAATAATTTATTATCATGATTAAACGTTTCCGTAGTGAATGTTTAAACTATTACAGGATATTGGAATAATTTAAAGTTGCAAAAATCGGCTAATGGAGCCCCCTCCACCATCTCTTTCAAGGATGGTTCGTACAGTTATGCCGTGCCAAAAACGTTCCGGTTATTCCTTGACGGTGGAATTTACGTTCCTAGCCGCACGTTATTAGCCGATTTTTTTTCGGTGCAACCCTAAAGTCTTGGGGCGAATGAATATGAATTGACTTTGCGGCCATTTTTTTTCTGTGAACCAGAGGCGTTGGCGAAAGAGAAATGGGGGGCTTGAGAGGTAAACACTCCTACAGGCAGCAATTAGAATACAGATTCTTTAGAGTTGCACTCAAAAATCCATATTATTCTTAAACAGTTTGATAGAGTTAAAGACCAACTTCCAAAAATTCTCCTGAAGCCGCTGGGTCTTTTGACGGATGGTAGATGGCGGTTGGTTGCTTTGTGGAAAAACCGGTCCACCATCCATCAAAAATCTCAACCGTATCGCTTGGATGGGATCTGTGTAACTGGTGTATGTTGTTGTTCTGGTGAATACGTCCATTGATTTATGGTTAACAAAAAACTCGTAATAGCCAATTCACATTACGGCATTTCTTGGGGGAACAATGAGAAGACTGTGAATAAGTGAAATTCCAAATAACACTCCCACAGTCTACAGTCAACTTCTTCTTGCGAGTGCTCAAAACAAAGTGAAATTCTTCGACTGGTTTATTTTCCAACTGTTTCCACACTACACTTGGTGCCAAAGCAGAATACGTGTGACTCTATTGGAAAACACTTTACAATAAAAATCTAAAGAGGAAAATAATTCACAACCACTTGTCGCTGGCCGCTTGCTACTTTTTTTTAACTTACGCTGCTAAAACGAAACAAAAGCGACAAAAAGCAAAATTATCGAAACTCCGACTTACTCTCATAACCATAAGCAACAGCAAAGCAGCAAGCCATGAAACGAAAATCAGCGACTCTTGCTGCTTTCTGATATTTGTGGTTTTTTGATACTTTCCTCGACTACGACTTCTGCTTTTTCGGGAGCAGAAGCAACAGCTAATTTAAAAGAGACGCACTCAGTCAAAGCAGTGAAAAGCAACAATTTTCCGACTTTTGCTTTTTCGACTGAAGTTTTTTAAACTCTGCATTTTATAATTATATTTTAAAAATTTGTTTTATTTATTTACAAAAAAAAAAGAAAGGAAGCAAGCTTGTGCAATTAGAAGTTTATGTACCCTTGCACCTATTGAACAAATTAAATATTTAAATTTCTAATTCTATGCGTATATGTTTAAAAACATTGAAGCTATGATGAATTAGAACCCGATTATTCGATCGTGCCAATGACACCTATTTAAATTTAAGGCGTTATTCTGATTTATTAAATAATAAATAATTACCAACAATAATATTTAAAAACATTTAAGTTATAATTTTGTTCATATTTTTTCCCAATTGTTGCTATGGGAGCTATATGGTATAGTTGCCGTTGTTATATATGTAAAGTCGAGACTCTTTTTCGTCAGAATTTATTATCTTTATTTACTGGAATCACTCCCGTTTATTGTCATTCAATTTATCCGGGAATCCGTTTGGATTTCGTTCGAGTCTGTTAAGAACTAATTAATGCTAACTTAAATGTTCTCCAAGAAATCCGGGCAGAAGGCCCGACGTCGGCAGCGACGAGCAGAATTGACGGCAGCGTTATGGGCAGAGTGCTAACCTTGTACTTCGCATACGCTGAATAACCCGCTGCATTACTTTACCGCCTTGATCAGCGACACTAGCGTGGGACCGCTGACTTAGCGCCTCGTGCCCGGTGCATCCCCCCACCACTCAGCGATTCGGGTTTTGTATTTCATTCTTATAGACCGCTGATTTGGAGATTTGCTAACTCCTCCCTCCTTTAAGTTAAGGCCGTCCTCGGACTTCTTCAGCGTAGATTTTTGTACAGGTGTCAACTTGCTCTGGTGGCTACGAACGCAACGTCGTTGGAGTTGATAGGTGATGAAGAGGCACACCAGAATGATCACCAAAGTAATACCGCTAGTTAAGAGTGGCTTTGTTAGAATTTCTTCCTTAAGCCGCTCGATGTGTTGAAGATTTCTCAGGCTTAGCTCGTGAAAGACAGGCTCAGTTGTTCTGTGTGGCCCGTGATATTAAAGTGGGTCACCATCGATACTGCAGGTTTCTCCTTCAGTATGCCACAGTGGTTTTTAAAGAGGAAGACCCATAACGTCGAAGGTTACCAGATATGTGCACCTAGGAAGGTTTTTGGGGCTGTCGTCGTGTTGAAATTTCGCAGAAGCGTCGTTAATAATAAGTATTCCGTTGTCGATTGTTGTTATTGGACTGAGGTGGCCTGAAATGGTGCTGCACTTGGCGATGGTTCCGGAAACTAATTCTTGGGCGCATGTTGAGGAATCCGATTTTCTGCAAAACGTTGTTCCAATTGAAGCCTCACACTGGTGGATGGCAAACGACTTTCTACCACAATCAGCGACTAACTTGTCCTCCCTGAAGTCTAGAATACTATTACTATGTTGTTTAGGATAAATAGAAATTTTCTTACGTACTAAATTAGGTTTGGGGTATTTTATGAGGAAGTGTATTATATAATTATTTGTAAATGCTTTTATCTGGGATACTTATAAAAGATCAGTAATGCTAAAATTTGTCAGCCTTTCGTGATTAATTTCTTTGACATCAAATTCATCCAGAATTGCTGGGCTTATTAAGTTTACTCTTGCCAATGTTTTTGAGAATATAAATTTTTCCAGATCATTTATTATAATTATATTTTTGGTCAAGATTATTTCGAAAAGGTGGCTTTTGTCTATTTCGTCTGATTTGTAAATTGCGTTTATTGCTTTGGATAACATGTTTAAACGAGTTTGTACTCTAGAATTTATTTCTACCTGATTAATCTGTGTTTCAATTAATTGACTCTGTTTAAATTTGACCTGTTCCCAGTCGTCGAAGTCTGGGTTACCTGCAATTGCCTTTAGGACTGATCTTAACATGTTAATGCTGCGTGCATTCCTATGATGAAGTCTTAAAGTACCCTATCCGTCTGACGTCCACAGTCAATATTCGTCTCATGTGGTCCTGTGTAAAAGCGTCAGTTGTAGTCTTTGTTTCGAGTGCGTAAAGTTCATATGAAGTAATATTAGTGGAGTGCACGAGATACCCAAATTCCTCCCAGATTGTGACGTCTCCATCCATTAACAGTATGTAGTCCGAATGTGAATAGTCATTTATTTTAAAGGCAGTGGCCATCGAAAAGGTCATGGTCAAAAGTTCAAAGCGTAAACCTAAAACAAGAAAGAAGGAAAGAACAAAAATCTAAATTTAAAATTAGGTCTAGAAGAATCGTTATTTTAAATTGTCCTTATGGAGCACCCTACCTTTAATAAGAACTGTCGTCCCAAGGTCTGCTTCAATTACTTTCTGCGAGCATAGGGGAGATAGTTTATTCCCAGGCGTTTATTTGAATTCAAGAAAACTTTGTCGCCGACCTGATAACTTTTGTAAGTCCTGTTTTTGTTTATTTGGTCTAAGCTTTTTCTTGGGCTTGTTGAATTTTTGAGTATAGAGTATAGGCGTTTTATTAGTCACTGAGTGGATAGTTCTATTGTATTTAGTTGTGGCTAGTATGATAACCTCCTTAGTGTCTTTCATTTCTTTTTCGTTTTTTAGGCAACGCGCTATTTCTGCAGGATGCTGTGGAATCTTTCGACCTGTCCGTTCGAGGTGCTGTGCAAGGGGGGTGCATTTGCAATGTTAATATTGAAATTATTTAATAATATTGACTTAATAGTCTCGTAGTTTAATGATCTTTTACTGTCGCAGTAAGTTGTTTGTGTGTTTGGATAAAAATTGACATTATTTAAAATTGGGGATTTTGCATCCACGATAGCTCTGGATGCGATCGGATGTACAATGTACTTAGAAAATTTATCAATACATGTGAAAAAGAGTTTTCCATCTGTCTATATGGAGAATTTCTCATTGATAACATAGTATCGGCGTTTGGCCGACTGTTTGCCTTGTAGGGTGACGGCGGTACTTTGCCATAGAGCAAATTTTACAATTAAGTGTTACCTCTGTTGCTAGCCGAAGCATTTTTGGGAAAAATAGTCTCTCAGAATCTGTTTAACGTTTTCTTGAGCTGCTCGATAAGCTCTATTATGTTCTAATCTTGGTCCTCAAGATCTAGTGG